AAATCAAACAAAGAAGGAAATAAAACAATCTCTCCAACTAGATAACAACCTAGAACAGGCAACACTTTATATCAGCTTATTGGCGGAGCCACCCAGAGAAAGTGATTCTGAGTGACTTTAACTCCACTTCCCAGTGACTTTTGACTCTACATCTGTAATAGGACAAATCCTAAGAACAAAAACCACAAAGGTATCAGATTGCCTTTGGTAGTCTTATTAGTAGCAACACTGACTTAAAAACACAGTACAGAACAGGCTTTACAGTATCTAACCACCTTTGCTGGGAGAGGAGAGCAATAAATTATTGTAAGGATATTGTACAACGAAGAAAAGAAAAAATTTTGTTAACATCATTATGAACCAAGACATCCAGTATAAGAGAAAAATAAATTCAAATTAAAAAAAAATCCAAAAAGTAAAATGTGTATCCTATTAAATTTAAACTGTGAATATCAGTGAATTACTAATTTATTTTTCCTCTTAAAAAATAAAGCATCTTTCCCAGGTATCTGTGCTGGGAAGGTCTAAAAGCAAGGACAGCCCCCCACCTGGCAATCATCACCCCTGGCAACCAGCCTGTGGTCCCTAAAGCCATTCACACTGAGACGAAGTAGAGCCAGTGAAGAAACGGCGGGTCAGGGGTCTGGGGAGGAAATGTGCAAACCCCCCTGAGATTTCTCACTGTGCAAGAGAGCAAAGCAGCTTTCAAAACACACGGGCTTGTGGGGAAAGCACCGGAGCGGCCCTGGCCCGGGTGGCTGTCGGTTGACCACTGTCCTCTGCGCTGAAAGGTTGCCAGTTCCGTGTCCGGTCAGGGCACATCCCCACGTTGTGGGTTTGATCCCTTGTTGAGGTGCATACAGGAGCAACTGATCAATGGTTCTCTCTCTCTCCTTGCCTCTCTTAAAAAAATCAATAAAAACATTAAAAAAAGAAAAAGAAAAAGGACCCAGGAGTTCATTTGAAGATACTCCCATGGGACACAAAGATGGGCTAAAGCCAATCAAATATGTAAAAACCCACGCCTTAATAATAATCACCTCTGAGGGTCATTATGCCTCTGAGGAGTTTTATCCTCAAGTTAAGGGCCAATGTTGTTTAAACGAAAACATAAAAGTTGGCATGGAAACAAATCTGTGGTGTTTTTTTTTTTTACCCTTTTTATTCACATATATAACTGCTGGAATAACTGAGCACATATATTGCAACTATACTTTGGTGAAATACAAGTCATTAATATTCAAGAAAAAACAAAATTCATTGATCAGTATTGGAAGATGACAGAGTACCAGGTCATCACTCTGAAGGTGGATCAATAAAAGGACCAGTATTTAAGCATTACTCTGCCCTTCCTGTACAAACTCTATTTGAGAGCCACCGAGGAGTCGATGGAGTAAAGAAAAAGGTCTTCTTCATAGGAGAACTTGTGACCCAATGCACGGATTCGTGCATATTGAAAGGAAATTAATTAGAAGGTGGCCGGTGGTGTGGGACTGGGCAAGATGGGCTGGACACGCTCTGGAGCCAACCTCCCGGGGTCCCTCCCCAGTGTCTGCTCTGCAGAGTGAGCGGGGCTCCACTGGCGGGTGGGGTCCCTCAGCCTGGCCTGTGGGGATTGGGCTGAAACTGGCTCTCCAACATCCCCTGAGGAGTCCTGGAGGGTGAGAGCGCACTCACTCTGTAAAGTTGCTGTCTACGGGTTGTGTAATGCAAACACAAGTGCGCAGTAAACCAGATTTGGGGCCAACAGTGCCGCAGCAACAACATAACTCACAGCCAAAGGTGGAATCACCAGGCCCGGTAAGGAATCGGGCTTCCTCCTCTCTGGTTTCGGGGTGTGTCACCCAGAGCCATTGCTGCCAAGTCACTGCAGCTCGGCAGCTCCTGTGTTGAGCATCTGCCCCCTGGTGGTCAGTGCGTATCATAGCAAGAGTTGGCATATTAGCCATATATATATATATATATATATATATATATATATATATATATATATATATATATATATTAGAGGCCTGGTGCATGAAATTCGTGCATGGGGGTGGGGTCCCTCAGCCCAGCCTGCACCCTGTCCAGTCTTCCAATCTGGGACTCCTTGAGGGATGTCCGACTGCCCATTTAAGCCTGATCCTGAAACAGGTAGTTGGACATCCCTCTCACAATCCAGGACTGCTGGCTCCCAACTGCTCACTTTCCTGATTGCCCCTAACTGCTTCTGCCTGCCATCCTGATCACCCCCTAACCACTCCCCTGCCAGCCTGATAGATATAACTGCTGCGGCCTGATTGCCTCTAACTGCCCTCCCCTACAGGCCTGGTTGCCTCCAATTGCCCTCCCCTGCTGGCCTGGTAACCCCTAACTGCCCTCCCTTGCCAGCCTGGTCGCCCCCAACTGCCCTTCCCTGTAGGTCTGGTCACCCCCAAATGTCACCCCTGCAGGCCTGATCCCCCCAAACTGCCCTCCCCTGCAGGTCTGGTGCCTCCAACTGCCTTCCGTTGCATGCCTGATTGCCCCCAACTGCCCTCCCTTGCAGGCCTGGGTCTCTCCCAACTGCTCTCCCCTACAGGGCTGGTCCCCCCCAACTGCCCTCCCCTGCAGACCTGGTCCCTCTCTACTGCCCTCCCCTGCGAAACCTGATTGCCCCCAACTGCCCTCCCCTATAGGCCTGATTACCCCCAACTGACCTCCCCTGCAGGCCTGGTCCCCCCCAATTGCCCTCCCCTGCAGGCCTGATTGCCCTCACCTGCCCTCCCCTGCAGGCCTGGTCACCCCCAACTGCCCTCCTCTGCTGGCCTGACCACCCACAACTTCCCACTCCTGCTGGCCATCTTATGTCCACTTGGGGGCAGCCATCTTGTGTGTTGGAGTGATGGTCAATTTGCATATTACTCTTTTATTAGATAGGATATAGATTCCAGCTGACTCGTGCAGGATAAATGGCACAATTAGAAAAACCACCATTTTGCAATGAAATGGTGGGTCTAACGCCCTCAGTGGGTGTTAAAACCATTAGGTGAAGGTGAGTGGAGGAATCTCACTGGGAACCCCTGCCCCCACTGCTCAGTCTCAGTCACGGAAGTGGGACAACTAGGAAGCATGTGCCTGTGAAGTGACAGCAAGTATCCAGGTCCACCTCAATCTAAGTCGTATCTCGCTCTACCTAACACTTCCCAAGAGCTCGGAGACTACAGGGACGAGTCGGGCTGTGCCAAGAGAAAGCAAAGCCAGAACGTGGGATGCTCTGCAGAGCAACCGATTCTGCTCTTGCAGCAGCTCAGCGAACCGAAACCAAGGGGCTGAGGACAGCTACAGACGAGGAGACGTAAGAAGCAAAACCACACAATAAAGGGCGTCTACTCCTCACACCCACCGGCTCCCACAGACCTCGCCAGCAGCAATGTGTCCTGGCAGGTGGCTCCCTTTGGCCACGGTGATGGTGAGAAGTTGCTCAGGTCCAGAAGACACGCTGACTCTTGCCTTGGCTAAGAGTGCTTTTAGGACCTTGCCTGTCCTCCACGCTGCTCTCTAAAAACATAACTTCACTTCCAGAGCTTCCTCATACTCCACCCTCAGCTTCCTTTCCTGGCATCCACCCAGCAAACTATGACCAGTGAATGAGGACCTTGCTAGGTGCGGGCACAGGAAGGTGAAGAGGGCGCAGTCCCACCTTCCCACGGGCTCCGGTGATAGAGGAGACGGACAAGTGGACAGGCACCCCAGCTGGCCCCTCCTGCTACGGGCTGTCCCATGGCTGGGGGAAGCGGGTCGTACTCCCAGGCCTGCCTTCCCAACAGCAGGCCTATGTGCCAGTCAAGAGGACTGTGTGGGGTACGTTACCGGCTCCCTGCGGCTGGCCCAGAGGAGACCTGCAATGCTTGGCAATGTTACCATGGCGATGTCTTCCCCCGAGGTTGGAGCCCACCGCCTGCAACACCTATCTCAGTCCATCGTCTCCGCCCTCCGCAAGCCTCATTGGGGCAAGCGTGCTCGCTGCCAGCAGGAGGAAACAAACAAGCCAACCGGGGAACCACAGCCTTTCCTCTCCAGCCATTTGGTGCCACCAGGTGGCCAGTGTAAGTTCCACTCTGCTAGATCCTGGGGAGGAGGCCGGGGAGGAGGAGGACAGCAGGAGGCATCCCTGGGCGCTGACAGCGACCACAGCACCCCAGCGTGGTCTGTTCTCTGGCCCGAGGGTCATTATGCCTCTGAAGAGTTTTACCTCAAGCTAAGGGCCAAAGCTGTTTAAAAGAAAACATAAAAGTTGGCATGACAACAAACCTGTGTGTTTCCCCACCCCACTTTTTACTCATAGATGTAGCTGCTGGAATAACTGAGTATATATATATATATATATATATATATATATATATATATATATATATATTACAACTATATTTTGGTGAAAGGCAAGTTATAAAAATAAGTAGACTTCCCCAAATTGTCCTAATATTGAGTCTGTTCTGCCTCATAGTATTTCTGGATGATTTTTCTAAGATGGAACAGCAAAAAGTGCCCCCCCCTCCTCTCTTGTCTCTGTTTCTCTCTCTCTCTCTCTCAAAACTTTCTTATTAGATTACTCAAAGTTCAAGCTTAAACAGATGTACTTCTTAGTACAGTATCCGCATCCTCAAAAGAATTTTAGGTCAAATTAAACCGGCTCATATCCCAATATTGCTAATTTCAGCTGTAGCATATTGGGCAACTTCTCCAAAATGTTGCTGAAGCGTGGTTTGCTCACTTATTAAATGGCATATCTTACCTCCTGTCCCACCGTTTTTGCAGAATTTTAGTATGTGCAGCACCTGACACGCAGCAGGTGCCTAATGACCCCCCCCCCCCCCCCCGCACCTTTCTCCGTGTGTGAAAGGCAGAAAGCACGGCTTCCGTGGGCGAGTGTGCTGTGGAATCGCCCAGGAAGAAAGCAGGCTCAGGCACCAGCACGTCACCATGACAACGACGCAGCGGCCGCCCCGGCCGCCTGAGGGATGTGAAAGGCGACTTACCCGAGCTCATCCTCCGAGTCGTAGCCCACGGGCCCCGCCTCGACGGCAATGACCTCGCTCTTCGCCTGGCTCTGCTTCCAGGCGCTGCCTCCGGAGTTGGGCGGGCCCTTCCTCTTCTTCTTGCCGAAGAGCTTCTTAAACGTTTTGAACTTGGACTTCTTCTTTCCTGTGCAGAAGGAATGGCCGTGAGTGCTGGCCGAGCCGGCGCGAGGCGTGCAGAGGGGAGGAAGCAGGATCGCTGCCCAGGCTCCAAGCTCTTCGCTCCTCGGCAGCCCCGCACCCATTTCCGGAGCCCTGGAAACAGGTCTTAATTTCCGCCTATTTGGGGCACCTAATGAAGGGCCCAGGAAGCGCTGGAGTGCGATCACAGCATTGGAGCCTGAGCAACTCTCCTCTGGGCTGAAATCAAGGTTTAATCTCTGCCGCAGACAGGGTCAAAAGCAAAGAGTCCTGAGGAGGAAAAGACCAGGTCAGAACCCAATTTTTTTCCCTCAAAATAATCCTAAGTGCTTCAGTTAGTGTGGAGCTGAGCACCGTGGACCAGCAGAGGAGGGCCAGCCTCTGGGCAGGAGGTGCTGGCGGGAGCCCCAAAGCCGCGATGCCCTAACAGCGCCCCCCCCCCCCCCCCCCGCCCGCTCCCAGGTGACAGAATTCACGGCCCTGCCAACGCCACGCCTCCTGCCTTCTCCCACAAGCCCATCTTCCGGACCCTGTGCCCGAGCATTAGCAGCTAAGCACAGCTCCTTGCTTTCCCCCCGAACCTGTAGGAGGGCTGACAATGGGAGGATGCAACGCTGCGGATAAGCAGGATGCTGCCTGATACCCCCCAAACATCTGCTCCAGGGATCCCCGAGTTTACACGTAGGTAATTCTGTGAGCGGAGTTCCTCAAAACACAGACGGAATGGTTATATTTTATGTGAATGCTCGATACTGCCCCCATGTGGAGAATTAGTAAGGATGGGTCTGGTAGGAGTCCCTGCAGGACCTGAGGTGGCGCCAATCGCTGCCCAGAGGGGATTTAGTCCTTCAGCCAAGTCTCACCATGGAATGACAGTCTCCTCACCTTTGTAATCACAGAACAATTACGTTGCTCACTGGTGGCTCTCAAAGAGTCTATTATTTGGAAAGGCTTTAGCAGTTTTCTGCATTTACCGGGTCACCAGCTGGCCTTTGCCTAGTTAACAAACAGGTACACACCCTGCAGGTCTGAGCAAACATGCGGCCTCGTGGTCCTTTTCATCAAAGACGCGGCTGCTGCTCTGGGACCATGTTTACAGTGCTCTCAAATGACACGAATGGACTAAATTGTTTGGAGTCGACAGTAGTGAAGGTCAAAGAGAAAAACAGCTCAATCATTCTTATCTAGTTCCTAAGTACACATAGCAAAATACGTTAGAGTGCAGTGAGGAACTTTTAACTTAAAGTAACTGGCAGCATAGGAATTCTGTGTTTAAAATGGTGTGGTGGTTTCCCGTCTTATATTTAATACTAGAGGAATCCTCGGACAGCAAAATCTCAGCCATATGCCGAAGCATTATCTTCACTGATACAGCTCCCAGGGCAATGGAAACTAAGGAGAAAATAAACAAATGGGACTACATCAAAATAAAAAGCTTCTGCAAAGCAAAAGAAACCATCAACAAAACAACAAGAAAGCCCACTACATGGGAGAACATATTTGCCAATGTTATCACCGATAAGGGTTTAATCCCCAACATTTACCAGGAACTTATACAACTTAACAAAAGGAAGATAAACAATCCAATTAAAAGAGATGGGCAACAGTCCTAAATAGATACTTTTTGAAAAGGGACATAAGAAAGGCCATGAGACACATGAAAACATGCTCAAAGTCACTAATCATCAGAGATATGCAAATCAAAACAACAATGAGATACCATCTCACACCTGTCAAAATGGCTATCATCAACAAATCAACAAAGTGCTGGCGAGGTTGCAGAGAAAAAGGAACCCCCATGCACTGCTGGTGGGAATGCAGACTGGTGCAGCCACTGTGGAGAACAGTACGGAGTTTCCTCAAAAAACTAGAAATGGCCGAGACTGGTTTGGCTCAATGGATAGAGCGTCGGCTTGGGGACTGAAAGGTCCCGGGTTCGATTCCGGACAAGGGCATGTGCCTTGGTTGCGGGCATATCCCCAGTAGGGGGTGTGCAAGAGGCAGCTGGTCGATGACTCTCTCATCAATGTTTCTAGCTCTCTATCTCTCTCCCTTCCTCTCTATACAAAATCAATAAAATATATTAAAAAAAAAAAAAAAAACTAGAAAGGGAACTCCCATTTGACCCAGTAATCCCACTCATAGGAATATATCCCAAGAAACTGGAAACATCAATCAGAAAGGATATATGCAGCCCTATGTTCATAGCAGCACAATTCGCCATAGCTAAGATTGGAAACAGCCTGAGTGCCCATCAGCAGGTGAGTGGATTAAAAAACAGTGGTGCGTCCACACAATGGAGTACCACGCTGCAGTAAAAAAGGAGTTCTTACCATTTGCAACAGCATGGATGGACCTGGAGAGCATTATGCTGAGTGAAATAAGCCAGGCAGAGAAAGATAAATGATCTCACTCATTTATGGAATATAATGAACAACACAAACTGATGAACAAAAACAGATCCAGAGACACAGAAGCATCGATCAGACCGTCAAACCTCAGAGGGAAGGAAGGGGAGATTGGGGGTTTGGGGGAAGAGATTAACCAAAGGACTTGTATGCATATATATGAGCATAACCAATGGACACAGACACCAGGGGGGTGAGGGCATGAGTGTGGGGGGACAGTGGGAGAATAAGGACACAAATGTAATAACTCAATAAAGAAAAATAAAAAAAAGTGCAGTGATAGGCCTGTGGTGGGGGGCAGGTGCGGGGGCTCAATGTGTGTGTGTGTGGGGGAGGTGGGGACATCTGTAATACTTTCAATAAGAAGGATGAATTAAAACAAACAAGAAAAAGATGCCGCTGCTTGTCAGTGGGGGGGACGGGGGGGGGGGGCGGAGAAGGGCCGCACAGACCCAGATGAGCACTGGCGTTTGCCTTGGGTGGCCCGGCAGCCTCCCACGAGGGGCCTGTCTGTGCTGCGTTTACCCACCTGCTGGACTTCTAACTCAGTTCCTTCCATGGTGACCGGCACTATTCAGGCTTCCTACATCCTGAATCTGTTTTATGAGTTTACATTTTTGCTAGGAATTTGCCTTTTTCCAAATTTTCAAAGTAGTTGTTAATAATACCCTCTTGCTGCTTCAGCATCCGCTGCCTGTAAGCAAGTTCTCTTTCTCGGCCCCGGTGGGAATTATGTGTGCCTCCTCTTGTTCCTCAGTCAGCTGCACCAGAGGTGTGCTGATTTTATTTGCATCAATTTCTACTCCTCGTTTTATTTTTTACTTCCTTCTACTTTCTTTGGGTTTACTTTGCTAACTTTGTAAATTCATGAGATCAATAGTTAGCTTGTTAATTTTTAGGCAATTTATTCATTTTAGGCAATTTCTAAGCACTTCAGAATTTTCTTATCTTTCTGTTATTGATTTCTAGTTTAACTGTATTGTGGTGAGAGAATAGACTCTACATGGTCTGAATCTGTTCAGTTTTGTCAAGACTTGCTTGAATTTGAAAATGTTTCTCATGTGCTTAAAAAATAATGTATGGTTTTCAATGTTTTATATGTGTCAAGTAGGATAAGGCCTTTTTATTTGTGTTGTCTAAATACTTTATATCTTCAATTTTTAAATACATTTGTTCTATGAATTACTGATACAGTTATACAAAAAATAACCCAGTCTGATTATAGATTATATCTACTTTATTTAATTGTCAATTTTTACTCTATAACCTTTGACATTATGTTGGTGCATAGAAAGGTAAAATTATTATCTTGGTCCCAAATAAAACCTTTTGTGAAATGCCCTCTGTAATTTTAATAATGCTTTTTGCCTTAAATTTTATTTGGACTGCTATTAATATAGCTACGCCAGCCTCCTTTGGCCCAGTATTTTCAAGGTACATGTTTTTCTGTCCTTTTACCTTCAACTTTTCTGCTTAAGATAATTAGTTTTAGAAACTCAATCTGATAATCTTTAACTTCTAAGCGGAACAATTAATGCAGTTAGTCCCCGTACGCTCACTGTACTGGCGGATACGTTAATAAAACAGGTCCCCCAGCTGGAGGGCTCTGCTGAGAGCGCTCTGCCGGGCTGCAGACTGTCCACTGCCCTCCAGGCTTACTCACCTCCCAGAGCCCACCTCCAAACTGCACCGCATGGGGGTAGGATTTTAACCTATGAATTTTGGAGGGACACAAACGTTCAGTCCATAACACACAGTACATCTCTCCATGAATGGGGGTCTTTGTTGCTTTCTTCAAATAATACCTATATTTTTCAGCCTACAGATCCTACATATGCTTTGTTAGATACATACCTAAGTATTTCTTTTATTGGTACCACTGTAAATGGCACCTTTAAAAAATGTCAATTTTTAATTCTTCATTGTCCTATATAATAAAGAGGTGGTATGCAAATTAACCCTCATGCCCTCACAAGATGGCTGCCTACGACCAGGTCGGCAGGGGGGTTAGCGAGGGACAACCAAATGACTGAACAAGCAGGCTGCATGGGGCGCCAAGGCCGGCGGGCAGGGGTAGGCAGTAGGGGCAACTAGGCCAGTGGGGGAGGGACAATAAGGGGTGACCAGGTAGGCAGGCAGGCAGTGATCCAGGATTCTGATAGGGATCAGGCCTAGACCGGCAGTCAGACATCCCCCAAGGGGTCCTGGATTGGAGAGGGTGCAGGCTGGGCTGAGGGGACTCCCCCGCATGCACAAATTTCATGCAATAGGCCTTTAGTTAATATATAAAATTACAATTTTTAAATATTGACCCTGTATATAGTGACAACTTGCTAACCTGGCTTAAGAGCTCTAGGTTCTTTCTGATATTTTCTATAATCAGAGTTTTACTTCTTCTTTCCACCTGGATCCCCTTTATTTCTTTCTCATGCCTTATGGCACTGGCTGGGTGCTATGAGACTTCTTATAGTTCCCTGCTACTTCCATATACTTTCAAACTTTTATTTGTTATCTTCAACCCTAGGATGGTGATTGTTTTATAGCACCTATTCGATAGTTCTGATATTCAGTGCCGTTGCATGTCTGTTTCTCTCTGCTGTGTATCAGTTCGCTAGGATTGCCATGATGAAGTACCACAGACTGAGGGCTTAAACAACAGAACGGCTGTTGCCTCAGTTCTGGAGGCTAGATGTCTGAGCTCCAGGTGTCTTTGCATGGTTAGTTCCTTCAAAGGATTATGATGAAGAAATCTATTCCGTGTCTCTCCGCTCATGTTTCGTGTTTGCTGTCAATCTGGCATTCTTCCCCCTGTGTCTGCCATCACCCTAATCTCTGACTTCATCTTCCCGTGGTGTTCTCCCTGAGTGTGTGTCGGCATCTCAAGTTCCCCTTTCTGTAAGGACACCAGTCACAGCAGACCGGGGCTCACCTACTCCAGTATGACCTCATCTAAACCAACTGCCCCTGCACAGACCCAGTTCCCAAAGAGGGTCACGTCCTGAGGTCCTGGGGGTTAGGATTCAATATACAAATTTCGGAGGCACACAATTCAACCCATAACAGGCTGGCTCTCATTCGTGGTGCCTTGTTGCCCAATCTGCCTGGTTATCACTGACAGTTTGTCACAGAACCGACAGCACTAGTTATTGCTAACGGAGTAACCTGGGGTTTGGGTAGAAGGCACCTTCCCTTAGAGAAGATGCTTCCTTCTGCAGGTTCCTGAGGCCACCTTCAGTCTAGAAATGCTCTGAGCCGAGCTCAAGGCTTGAGAGTCTCTGAATCACCCACCTGATGCAGACACAAGCTGTCTACCCACACAACAGTGACTCGCCTCTGGTTCACACTCATTCACATGTGCGGCCCCTCGGGCCCCAGCTTGCTGTAGGGAAGGTCTGGGAGATGGCCACCTGTACAGCTCCGTACTTTACACAGGACCCTCTCCCTCTCCCTCTGTGTCACGAAGACATAAAAATGGAACTCACAATTTCCAAGACTGGCAAACGATCGGAGGGCAAAGGTGGCTTCTATGCTCAGGTCTCCACTTCTCTCTAATTCTGGACTCATTACCTCTTACTTTTAAAACAAATTTAAAGGAATGCTCTTATTTAGAATTTTACATTTTAAATGGAAAGAGGTTGAATAACTTGATTCACTATTATTTGAAAAACAATACTTAGTTCTTTTCTGTTCTTAAATAGATTCTTCATGGTGACCTCTGTAAGTACCCCAAACTAGTAGTTATGGATGTAGTTTCAGGATAATTAACTACTTCTTCAAACAGTATTTTATTGTTTAAAATCAGTACTAGTGCCGAAACCGGTTTGGCTCAATGGATAGAGCGTCGGCTTGGGGACTGAAGGGACCCGGGTTCGATTCCGGTCAAGGGCATGTACCTTGGTTGTGGGCATGTCCCCAGTAGGGGGTGTGCAAGAGGCAGCTGTTCGATGACTCTCTCTCATCGATGTTTCTAGCTCTCTATCTCTCTCCCTTCCTCTCTGTACAAAATCAATCATATATATATATATATATATATATATATATATATATATAGTATGCTATAAAAAAAATCAGTACTAGTTCGGTGTTCCATAATGTGAAATTTTGCAACTCATTTTTTCTCAGGGTTAATTAAAAAACCCCTCATCTATATCTGTATGGGGGGGGGAGGGAGTACCTATTCAATTATGATAAAAGAAAAGTAGTTCCAACATGGAATAATAAGAAAAAGCAATCTATAATCTACCACAATATATGATATTTATTGAAATGTGACAGAGAAAAAGCAGTTCTAATACAGAATAAGAAAAATCTACTGAAAATATCTAAAAATAATCTTTAATAGAATTAGTATCAGAAGTTAATGGTTAGCAGGTAGAATTTAATATTATTGAACCTATTTCCCCTGAACAATACTTAAAAATGACTACTAGCATTTAGACTTCAAAGAGGGAGAGAGATGGAAACCTTTGCTACCAAAATAAGGTGATTATAAATGGCTAATCTGTGGAAAAGGTACACTGTAGGAAGATCGACGATTTTTAAAGTAAATTTTACAACTCTATCAAGACATAAATAGCAATATATGAGTAGTTGTAAACCAATCAAATGACTGGATAACTCTGAGGACCGTTGTGAGGTGATGATTCATGGGCCTGGCATTCAGCTCCGTAGAGGATATAATAAGATCTCCTCAAAAAGAACAGCCATAAAGGAGGATTCGAAGGCTTTGTTATTCTATTCTTCTGGACCATCAGGCTACCTTTCACTTTGCCAGCTCCTGCTGTACCTTCAGATGTTCTTGGATAACTAATGAGTCCACTGCACTGCTCAAGCCAATCGAACACGGGGACGGGAATGAGGAAAATGACTCTAACCCGCCCCCCGTGTCTGAGGAGCAAAGGAGGACCCCCAGCATTGCAGGTGCTCTGGTGTCAGTATGACGGACCTAGGGGATGTCTGAACATTTTGTGAGTTGAACCCCCCATTCTCCGGGCAGGGAACCCCGATGGCCTGGTTCCATCAGCCCTTCCCCCTGCCCCACAGTCCAATGAGGACGCTCCCCAGAGCAGGGGGAGGGCCTTACCTGTGCTGTCCTCCCCCAGGCCGTCAGCAGCTTCCCGGAGCTTAAAGTCCATCCCCCGTGTGGAAATCATGGCCAGCTCCCTAAAGCCAGAGGGAAAGCGACATTAAAGAAACATGTTTAGAAACAGTCAGCTAGGATTTCAAATGATTTATACCTATGTGTAGAGTTCCAATAAATATAAGATTAGACAAATATGTACACATAAACCTGGCAACAACCCTAGTAACTGTGATTCAACTGGAAACACTAGCTTTTTCAGTGCCCTGATCTTATATAGAAATAGGCAATCAAGAATAACAAAAAGTTATAGGGAAGTCTTTAAGGGAAACACAAAATCACAACAAAACTCAGTAGAAATTTGTGTAATTTTTAATAAAAATTTTAAAACTTAATGGTTATATAAATGAAAGAAAAAAGGAGGATCCATGAATCATTGAATAGAACACTATAAAAAGGAACATGCAAAGAATAAAATGGAGTCTTAACATTATAATAGAAATTTTGAAAAGCAATAATAATTACTAAAACATAGTTGATGAAATAATCAGCAATGAAAATTAAAAGAGGTAGTTTATTTTTTTATTTTTTTAAAATATATTTTATTGATTTTTCACAGAGAGGAAGAGAGAAGGATAGAGAGTTAGAAACATCGATGAGAGAGAATCATCGATCAGCTGCCTCTTGCACACCCCCTGCTGGGGATGTGCCCACAACCAAGGTACATGTCCTTGACCGGAATCGAACCCAGGACCTTTCAGTCCGCAGGCTGATGCTCTATCCACTGAGCCAAACTGGTGCCGGCTAAAAGAGGTAGTTTAAATAAATTAGAGAATCAATCTAGAGATGCAACATTCTAATAATTTAAGTCTCAGATAGAAAAAATAAAATTTTAAAAAGAAGGAAATTATCAAGGTAATAATAGAAGACATTTTCAAAGAATTTAAGGATCTGAACTTGCAAATAGAAAGAGTGGATAGAATAGCCAGAAAATGAACCAAACACATTTGTTTGTAGCATTTCTATGTTCTAGAAATATTGAAGGATTCTTGCTATGAAGCATGAATGAAAATAAAGTAAAATATTCAAATGATTAAAAGACACTGAGAGAAAATAAGGAAAATAATTTCTGAAGTCAGCAAGGAAGTGTGGCAAAGCAAAGGGAGGAAAGGGGGAAACACCTGCAATAATATCAACATTAAAAAATAAAAAAAAAATAAAAGAAAGAAAGAAACATGTTTAACATGTGAGAAAAATGCCAGTGGTGACTGCTTTTTGTCTAGGACCTCACCTGCCCATGGCAGAATATGGGACAGTGCAGCCCAAAAACACATCTATAGCTCAAGATTGGTAACCACACAGGCATTTTAGCGCTCGTTGATGGAGCAATTGCATAGAAACCAGATGGCAGGAACAAATGCTTCGCCAAGTTAGTTGCAGAATAGCCGCAGAGATGTGGATTCCAGCACGGGGAATGTAGTCAGTGATATCCAGCATGGGGATGTGGGCAAGGTGGGGGCTGGAGGCAGGGGGGGCCACTGTGTAGAGTACGTGAGTTTCTGGACACTTTGTTGTACATCTGAAGCTAATACAGAATGGGGTTGAATGTAAACTGAAATAAAAAAATACCCTTTTATTTATAGAATGAAGATTTGGTTCCTTTCTCTCTCTCTCTCTGAAAAAAATTAAAAAGGATTTTCAGAAATTATGTTTTTCTCTTGTTCACTGTAGAAAATTTGTAAGATATAGAGAATGAAAACCACTCATAGTCCTACCAACCAAGGGTAATCACAGTTAATGTTTTAATGTATTTCCTTCCCATATTTTTCTATGCTAGTATTTGTATATGCACACACAATCCACATTAGGAAAACTGACTTACTGATTTTCTTTCTAATTCTTCCTAAGTGTACTGTAATGGCTACATAATAGCCTACCTAATAAAAGAGTGACATGCAAATTAACCATCACTCCGCTACAACACAAGCCATGCCCACCAACCATACCCACCAACCAATCAGAGCAAGTATGTAAATAAACCCAACTATCATAAGATGGCTACAGCCACTGAGAGCAGGAGGGAGGCTTGGATTTCCTAAGCAATGGAGGAAGCCAAGCTTTCCACCTGCCCTGGCCAGCCTAAGCCTCCACTCAAGGCTACAAAGTTTCACTTATAGAAGGTAAACAAATCCAAACATAAATGGCTGCCAGCCACGGAGTGATCAGGAGGCTTGGCTCTGTTCCAGGCTACAAAATTTCAATTATAGAAGGTAAATAAATTCCAGATACCAGGGCCTCCACTTGGGTCGCCAGGGGTGTGGCTGGCCTGCAAACCACTACAGGCCCCTCAATCAGGCCACCCCATGCCCAAGGGAGCCCCCACCCTGATCACCCTTCAGGGCAAACCAGCTGGCCCCCACCCATGCACCAGGCCTCTATCCTATCTAATCAAAGAGTAATATGCAGATTGACCATCATTCCAACACACAATAGCTTCCCCAATGTGGTCAAGATGGCTGCCCCATGTGGACACAAGATGGCCACCACAAGGTGGCCAGCAGGGAAATGCAGTTGGGAGGGACCAGGCCTGCAAGCAAGGGCAGTTGGAGGTGATCAGCTCTGTAGGGGAGGGCAGTAAGGCCAGCAGAGGAGGGAAGCTAGGGGCAAACAGGCTTGCAGGGGAGCAGTTAGACATCAATCAGGCTAGCATGGGAGTGGTTAGGGGGTGATCAGGCTGGCAGTCAGAAGTGGTGAGGGGCAACCAGGAAGGCAGGTAGGTGAGCAGTTTGGAGCCAGCAGTCCTGGATTGTTAGAGGGATCCCAGATTGGAAAGGGTACAGGCTGGGCTGAGGGACACACACCCTGCCCCCGGCTCCATACACGAATTTCATGCACCAGGCCTCTGGTTTTGATATAAAGCCACATCATCACTGCTTTACATTGCACTTTTTTTTTTGTTGAACTTTTCATTATGAAAAATTTCAAACTGCTACAAAATTGTGAAGAATATATAATGAACTTAACATATGGTTGCTGTAATTTCAACTTCACGCATTCTCCCCCTCAAACTCCCACTAGGTTATTTAGAAGGAAACCAGTCCAGATATTATCATGTCATCTACATGTACTTGACTTCTTCCTGAATAAAATGCCTCTGACTCTTCGCAGCAATCACATAGCCATTGCTGGCCACTCTCCCTGCAGCAGAACATGGAGCTAATGTGTCCCGTCTCCCACAGCTGACTTGTAAATGGCACACTTTGCCCCACTCACTAACTCACTATTTATTCGGAAAGCTATTACTTGTTGGCAGTTACCATGAATCCTCACTTAAAAGGGGGCTCAGATGTTTACTTAACCAATTAACATTTTCCCCTTGTGCAGAGCACATAACAGGACACTATTTAACAGGGGAAAGGAGTCAGAGGTCTGTGGCCAGGTCGGGCCTCATGTTAGGTCTCCTTTAACATTAACATCAATGTCCCTCTCCCCACCAGCCAATACCTAAAAAAGATAAGCAAAGCTTCATCAGCTTCACTTCTCCATTTTCATACCATTTAGCTCCATAAAAATGCCTGCCCAATAGAGGGGAAAAACCCACATGATCACCTCACCTCCACTGATGCAGAAAACCATTGGACAACATTCATGATAAAAACACTAGGAATAGAAGGAAACTACCTCATCATAATTAAGGCTATAGACTAAAAGCCCACAGCTTTTATCATACTAAGTAGAGAAAAGGGGGAGCTTTCCCCATAAAATCAGCAACAAGACAAGGGTGCTCACTCTCCCCACTGCTCCTCAGCTCAGTGCTGGAAGTCCTGGTCAGATCAGTCAAGAAAAAGGAGCAAAGGGCATCCATATCAAAGAGAAGAAGTAAAATGATCTCTGTTCACACATGACATGATCTTATACGTAGAAAATTCTAAAGACCTCCTAACAAAAACTGTTAGGATACATGAATTCAACAAAGTTGCAGGATTCAAAAGGAACACACAAAAATCAGTTGTGCTTCTATATACTAACAATGAAAATCTGAAAAGATCCTTAAGAACACAATTCCATTTATAATGGCATAAAAAAAGAATAAAATACTTAGGAATAAACTTAACCAAGGGAAAAGACTTGCACACTGAAAACTGTAAAGTGTTGCCGAAAGAAATGAAACAAGACACAAAGAAACAGACACATTTCATGTTCATGGGTTGGAAGATGTAATGTTGTGATGATGAATCGATGCAATCCTGTCAAAACCCCTGATCCCATGGTATCCTCTGCTCAGTGACATGACTGAGAGGAGGAGGAGCTATCAGGACAGGTGAAGAGGCCAGAGAAGGGAAAGGAGGAAACTATGAGGAGCCAGCAGGAGAGTGGAAATGGTCAGGACTGGTTAAGAGTCACCAGCCATGGCCCTGGGTACCCTCTGCAGTTGCTTCTGAGCTAAGGATGGATGCCAGCACTTTGAATTGCCTGATCTGGAAGTGACTTACCCAGCACGCACATACCATCTGAAGAAAATCTCTTAACCTTCAACAACTCCTAGTTTTCCCGTTTTGGAATTGAGATCATATATTACAGCAGATAGGTTTACCAGCCGGCCCAAAGTAGCAAAGCAGAGACACTGCCCTCAGTCCACATGGTGGACATAGGCTGGCACAGGCACTAGGTTGAGTGCATGTCCTCGTGTTGGATGTAGGTGAGTGCTGGTACTATATGCTGACAGCATGTGCTCATCCTGAATGCACACCCAGCATGGGCGGCACCTTCAGGGCCTGGGACACAGTGATGGATGGGACCGATGTCAGCAGCCTCTCGCAGGCGCTCACCCCGTGAAGGGACAGTCCCGAGATGTCCCCAGGGTGAGGCCAGGGCCGAAGGCTGACCTTTCCAGAAGATCAGACTGACAGGGTCCCTGGGTCTGAGGGAAGGGTTGGCGCTGCCTTGTACGTCACCTAACACTCCTGAGTCACCTCTGGCCATTTTAACCAAACGCTCCTTGCTGGGAAGTGCTGAGAACGTGGAGGTGTATGTGAGTGTGTGTGTGCCAGCCCTGGGGTGGGCGGAAGGGTG